TTTTTTTTTTTTTTTTTTTTTTTTTTTTTTTTTTTTTTTTTTTTTTTTTTTTTTTTTTTTTTTTTTTTTTTTTTTTTTTTTTTTTTTTTTTTTTTTTTTTTTTTTTTTTTTTTTTTTTTTTTTTTTTTTTTTTTTTTTTTTTTTTTTTTTTTTTTTTTAAAGAGAAGCTTGATCTGAAATGTCTCTACTGCACTAGCTCTTTTCACTTGCTGAGGAGCTCTTGTGCAAACACACACTGCGTATTCATTTATAAAGGAATTCTAAATAGGGAATGTTATATAAAAAGCAGGAGAGAATGTTTCGTAAGACCCTCACTGTGTAAACGCCTATTTAATGATGTACAGTTTCCCCTGCTGCAGTTTTATATCCATGCTTTCTACTATTTGCAACAAAATACCATTAAGATAGTTATATATACACATATTCCCCCGTCCCCCTGCACTGTGCTTTTGGTTACTTTTCATAACAACTCCTGGAGACACGCTCCAGCCTCCCAGCAGATCAGAATCGCTCAGAACTGGAAGGTGCAGTACCTTTGGAAAAGGTACAATTTCTCCCTCCTGGATGAATCCCATAATGCAACTTAGAAAAAAAAGTGCTCAAGTAAGTGAGACTGCCTAAATGTTACAGAATACTATATGGAGACCAATTCCAAGATGACATTTAGGAATCTGAAGTTAGAGCAAATATACAGGAAGTTATATCCATTCCTCAACTATTTCTCTATTGCAGCATTCATGGAAGTTCTCTCCTATGATTTTCAAAGCTTCAGTTTACGGTGACGAGACAGGAGACAGCAAAGCTTTCAGCTTGGCCTTCCCAGCTCTTCCCCAACACAGCCCTGCTCCAGACCTCAGCTCCTGGTTAAAACCACGCTCAGGACAAGTGCCCTGTGTTAATGTTCATTGTGCTCTGCCACACCCCACTAATCAAAGCTGCACATCTACTACACAAATGGAATTGTTAAACAGACTTGAACAAAGCACTACAGATTCAACTAAGTTTGTCTTGGGTGATTTTCTGCTCCATATAAAAAACATATGGAAATCCCTAAGCTGCAGTAAGTGCTCACGAATAAGGTTTAAAGTACTTACTCTAACAACATAGTTATGTTCAAGGCATTAGAAATAAGGGGGCCATCCACTGACAGTGATTCATGCAAAATAAACCTAAACTTTATTAAAAAAAAAAAAAAGGGTACAAAATACAGAGAGTGCTTATTGTAAAAAATAAAGTTACTGAGGGCTCTAACCACCAGTGGGGTATGAAGGTACACAAGCCTCCCACCACGGCAGAGTACTGGGATGGCTGCACTAAATCAGCACTGATGCTGCCCCAAAGCAGCTGCCAAATCTGTACAGGAGCAGAACACCCCAAAACAAAGCGTAACTAGATACACAACTTCAAAAAATTTAATTCTGAATGGAAGTTAACCTAAGGGAACAAAACAGCCTGATATACCTCGGTGTAAATGCTTAAAAGGGAACATCATTTTATAACCATTTACTGCATAATTTATTGCAGGTATTGAATGCATCAAAAAAAAGAAAAAAAAAGAAAAAAAGGAAATTGCATCTTTCTGGAATTGTAAGTCAAGCAGGTTTAAGAAAAACCTCCACTTTAATGTGCAATATTCAAATTTAAAAATTTAAAATCTGTCCTGTAACGATTTTGGTATACAAATGGGTTCCAAGGCTAGCCCTTTATACCCACAGCATTCGCTTTGAGGTACTTTAAAAATTGAAGTTGCAAGAAAGAATATCACAAATGACTCACTGAGAATGCTAATCTGCAGTTGAGTCTTATTTTTGAGTCTTACTTTACGTGTTTCCAAGTGCAATTTAGGAAGTAAAAAAAAAAAAAAAAGAAAATATTAAGAAAACACAAAAATGCTGTAACCAACAAGTGGCTCCTATTTCAATTACAGATATTTTCAGAAAAAAAAACAAAAAAAAAGAGAGAACTGCTTTTTGAAACCTCTGGCAGCCCTACTACAGAGTATCCATAGTCCATACTGCAAGGAGCTAATAAAGGAAATTGCATTAAAATGATTTGTTCCCCTTTAACATACTCATCAGGCACACAAGCTTTCCTCAGAGTAACATGCAGCTGAACTCTGTTTGCTGCAGAAAGCCCTCGCACTTCTTAAGTGTCCAGAAAGCAAGCTGGATCAGCTGCACATACATTTTCAACTGACTACAACATCCTTTAGGAAAAACAGCACGGATTTCCTCAACTGAGAACTAAAAGAAAGTGTTTTCTATCAGTCTGTGTGGCAGTCTCACTTTGACACGTCTTGCATCGTATGAAAGATGGTACTGGATAGAAATCTCCCCAGGACATGCAATCATTATGCAGGTGATATCACCTCCTACTATTCCTACGAGCCAGTTTTTGCCTCAAGGAAGTTTGCCCTATTTACTGGCACACACAGCATTACCTCTGTCATCTCATTCTGATCCTAAGAACATCTGTATAACACTGAATTCGTATCATGAAAATGAAAAGGTATGAAGTAAACTAATTGTGTGCGGGATTTCTACAGCTTGCCTGACTCATTTTCCAGTCGCTCCAATTTAGTAGCTGAATTTGAAAAGAACACATCACTTAAATAAAAATATGCCCCTTTTATAAACTGGCAACTCCATCAACCTGAAAAAGGCTGAAGCACTTATCTAATGTATGTTATGGTATTCCAGAAAGAAACTCACTTTCATGATTCTACCTTTTCAGACCCTGCATACATTACAACAGTGCATTAGTGATACAAGTTGTAAAATACTTTTCGGTTCCTTTGGATTTGCATATGATGGTTTTTGCATCAGTCACTGCAGGTAGATTGAGCAAGCTTTGTTTTTGTGTTTTAACATGCATTCAACTAGATATGGATCAGAATAAATTTATACTCCCTTTTTATCGTTATAATTAGCTAAAAAATTGCAAGACAGTCCACAAAACAGGATTTGCTTTAAGACTAACTGCTGGAGTTCCAAGATGTAAGATATGCAGCACTGGAAAATCTTCAGTGATCAGGAATTAGTAGTGTTTAGCCAAGTGTTGAAAGCATTCAGAAGGAAAGTCCTGGTTGGAGGCATGAGGGCTTCAGCACCAACTTTTAAACCTCAATTTCTTGATTGCATATCTCCCATCTTCAAACCTACATTAGGAGGGGGAGAAGAGTGGGAAATACTCTCAATTAGGTAAACTTTTCTCAAACTAAATGGACTAAAAGTGAAAATTTCAAGTTCAGTTGGTCTGACAAGTCATTAATTCCAATAAAGCTCCTTTCAACTTATGCTAAAAATAACCAAACAAACCAGAAACAGAAATATGTATCACAAAAACATTAGGTTTTGTATCATTTTGACACTGATTACGCCCCCAAAGTCCATCCCACTTTATAGCAGATTTCAAAGTTAAACTCCTCTTCTTGAAATACATTATCTAAATTTTGGTTCACACTAAAAATGCTTTTTCCACACTGACTGCAAGAAGTATGCACTGATACTTAACCTGAAACAGAACAAATATATGAAATTATCTCAAGGCTGTTTATTTGTTTCAGCAGCTTGTGAAAAAGATTCACCCTCAGAGCAAGGCAAAACACTCACCTTACCTACATATTTAGCCAATCAAAACCAACTCACACACATTGTTTCATTCAGGAATCACAGTACTGCTGAATTCAACAATTACCAACTATCCCAAAATGCTGAATACATTTAATCCCAGATGTATTTTAAGAAGGCAAACTTGAGGCTCATTCTCTCATATTCAGCAATCAAGAACCATGAAAATGATTCATGATTTGTGAAGAAACAGACCACTGAAAAAGCCCCATTAGTACAAAGTACAAAAGTACAAAGTACAAAGCTGCACTTTGCAAGAACAGCTAGTACATAAACAGCAATTTTTGTGTATTCCTACTCAATCAGAACGCCGTCACAGCGCCCCAGACTGCTTACCTTCTGGAGAGTCTCCCCCCAGAGAACCTGCAATGCTGTCATTTTTAAGAAAGATTAAGTGGTTTCAATCTAAATCAGTAACTTACACTGACTGCCAGGATGATCACCACTGTGGGGGCACATAACTATAGGTTGGTGTTCCTGGAGCCCGATACGTGGGCATAGTAACTGGATGAGGGGCTACTGGAGTTGGGGAATGAGTTGTCAACAAAGTACCTAGAATGAAGAGAACAGTTTTCAGTAAGCACAAGTTCTAGTAGAGAGAAAAAAAATCAAACAAAAAGCGAAGGAGAGGAAAAAAAGATTTAATTTTAAAACCAATTACATCTTGCTCATCTTTAAAATTACCAGTATCATTTTGCACTCCAGCCCCAATCTGCCTTCAAACCTTTATGCAAGGGGGTCATTTTAGCCCGATGGATGCTCAGTCCAGTGCAACACAGATACTCACTACTCAGAAACAGCTCTGGCAAAAACCCTGCAACATAAGTATTATTCACTGCAAGACTCTCCCACAGCAGGCTTTATGTGCCATAAGAATATCTGATGGTAGGGATAACTTGACTGAAAAATCAGAATAAATTAGTTCTTGTTTGCATTATTACAGGTTTTTACAGACTAAGGGGCTTCAGAAACAAAGAGCCTGAGAGAGCAGGGTCACACCAGTAACAAACACCTGGGATCAGCCTGCCCACGAACAAAACTTTAAGGTTAGCTCAGTTTTTGATACCTAACTCCTCTACTTTTGAGGTTTCTCAAATTAAATTATAGATTTGACAGGATAAGAACCAGACTCTTGAAACAAACTCATGGCTCTTGTTTTTGGGATTACTAAATTGAGCATCCTTTAAGTGAATGTGGACGTTTCTTCGTGAGTTAACCACCTACTGAGTAACAAAGCATGACACCCCCTCTGCAAACACTCGCAGATGAGACAGGATTACTGGGGAAACAACATTTTCTCCAAACACTACCACCAAGAGATAGTGTCAACAGGAAGTAGACATCTTTAACCACTGCCCATGACACAGAGGACCTGCAGGTGGTGCAAACACATGAAGTGTTGTACCTGGACACACAAGGAAGGTCTGTGACACTACATTTTCCTCAGCCTTAAGAGGCTGCTGCTTTCAACTGGCACTGAAATATGCACTGGGAAGAGCAAGTCAGACTCTTACCACTGGTAAGATGAGAAGCAAAGGATGCAAGAGTAAGTGAAATTCCATACAGAAATGAAGAAAAACTACCAAAAATAATACTGACACCTGAAAAGAGGATGCAACACCTCCATCCTTGGAGGTGATCAAAGCATCACTGAACTAGCTGGACTCACTCTGAAGACACACACTGAGTGGCAGTTTCATGACTGTGCCATGCACACTCGTGTCCCACTCGAGCTGAAAGCAGAGCTGCACCAAGGAACCACGCTGGGGGGAGGCACACAAACCTGCTGACATTGCCATAGTCGTCCCAGCCACCATGCCCATGGTGACCCCGTTCCCTCGGGGCGGCGGGATCGGAGCAGGGTACATGGTTGCTGGCATTCCATTGGGCTGCACGACTGTGGTGTGGTGGATTACGTGGGGTGGTGCTGCATATAAAGGCTGTGTGTAGTAAGTGCCTTGCTGTTGGAGGAAAAACAGCACATTAAGTGATTGCAGTATATCTGTGGGAAAGGTAAGTGGTATCTCCTTTCATGAACATTATCATAAAATAAAAGTATTATTCTAAAGATGCAATGCATTTACAGAGTAGAAGCCACAACATTCATTTAAACTATTCCAACTGTGTTTCACTTGCAAAATTTTAAACATTTTATCCATTTTTAAGGCTCTTGGAGTAACATTCAAGGCAGGGACCTTTGCAGAACTCCAATGCTGACTATACATACAACAGTAAGGGGTCATTTGTCATTCATTGCCTTCATTTTGTCTCCTTTCATATATTAACCCATGACAGAACACTTCTCAGTCTTTCACAACTTTCTATTCAGCTGCTCTAAAGAACCAAAGATTTTTGACAAATCCAAATGCACTAAGCAGAGCGTACAAAACTTGTCACATGCTTATTAATTCCCTCCAACTACTGCTCACGTGCCAGGTAAGTTTCCACCAAGAAAAGAAGGCCAAAATATCATGTTTACTGAAGTGTCTTAATCCTGTATTTTCTAATAAATTTCAACAGTTTGCTTAGCATGAGACTTGGTAACTCCCTGAATTACAACAGAACTTACTGAAAAAAAAAAAAAATCAATGCAACTTTATGACAATTTCTGATGAAATGAAACCAGGATATTGGTAGTTATAACATACAGCACAGATTATGGAAACTACTCAATCTAGTGTATCTTCAAGGATAGATCACACAATCAGAAAGGGCAAGAGAGAACATAAAACTGCACCCACACTCTGTAAGTCACTGTGCTAAGAATTCTTACTGCAGGCAGCTGAAGGATCTCTCCATGCACAAAGCAATGAACATGATGAAAGGTTACGAGTTCAGGCAGATATTGCAGGGAACACCAAATACCACCCAAAGTGACATTTTTTGGCTTTGCCTGTGTACCTGTGCATATGGATTCTGCTGTGGGTAGGCACTTCTGACTGGGTACACAGCAGTCTGGTAGGGATTCGGTGACGAGGAGTACGGTGGCACTGCTCCACTGGTGGGTGAACAGGAGACTTTGTACGGGGTACCTGGGGTATAACCTGAAACAAAGGCAAACCTGCATCAAACCCGTGGGAAATGTGGGGCAGTGATCTGCTTCCTGAAGTCAGGGCAACAATTCTCTGATTTCCCAATGCCACAATCTTCATGTGAGTCCTCAGTAAACTGGTCTCAATATCCAAGTTTAATCATTTACCTAATACTGGTAACAGTAACTGAAAATAGTATTTGACTGTGTCAACTACGCATGAAAAGTTAACTGTATATTTGCATGATTTACTTTTCAAATCTATGAAGACAGGGCATAAAGTGCATTTTGGTAGTAACATCATTAAATACTTGGATTGGGCACATTAACATCCTTATACAGGAGGACTTGGCACATATTAGCATCCCTCAACTCTCAACACCCCCCAAACCATCCTGGCAAAACCCAGTAACAGTTGACTAACCTGCAGTCACCTTCTGTAGGAGATGATCCAGCACAAGAATAAGAATGTCAAAAGCCAGAATCATCCAAAGAGCTCAGGATGGATTGTCAGAGAACACAGACACACAATCTGCAACCTCTACTTCACCTTACATTTGTTTGTATTTGTTTTCTGGCATTTCCTGAACTGGCTAAAATAAATACAGAAGGCCACACTAGTCTGGGCTGTTGCGAAAAGATCCTGGATCTCATGCAGGTCCACCACACCAGGAGACACAACATCCACAGGCACTAATCCCATCTAGTTGGAACTGTACAAACTACCAGAGCAGTGCAAGGAAGAACAGACACTTAGTAATTACAGAAAAAAAAAAGAGACTATTGGAATAGAGATTAGGTTGACTTGAAAAACTGTCTAGAATGTGCTGACTTCAACACAGAGAACAGATCTGAAGTCATATGGCAGAGAGGATGCTGGCATTTGTGCTGTCAAAAATCAGTCTGTGCAGACAGCGTGATGACAGATGACCTTCATTCTTTTTGCAGAAGTCTGAGTTTCTTTGCAGTTTCATTCCACCCTTCAAACTCAGAGCTGTTCAGCTAATGAAGAAATAGGTTTACTTTTTCTTTTTAATAGAATTTATCACCTTTAAAGAAAGCTACACCACAGCACTCTCTGTTGTTTTTAGAGATCCTAAGTATCTCAGACACAGAGCATGCTGAGGAAGGAACTTCCATGAGTATGGGGAACTCTTTGTGGTGGAAACCACAGGTACCAAATGCTGAACACGAAGCATCACTGCTGAACTACAACTCTGTCCTCAGTGAAGCCCACTCTCATTCTAAAAACCCACTGATACAGCTGCACAGGCAATTTCTTCTTTAATTCTTGCAAAGTGGTAATTCTGCACAAGAGGTATTTATTTTTTCTCCCTTACATTGGGCAAAGACCTTAACAGTAAATTACATGATTATTCCAAACCACAGTCATTTAAGACAGTTACCAGTAAAAAAGTCCCTTTTCTGTACAGCAGTGGCACGTTCAAATTCTGCTGCATAATATGATTTACTAAAGCTCTGATTCTCAAACAAGCTTACATCAGAAAGGTTAAAAAAGGTATAAGAAAATCCCAGCTGTAACAAAGTATTTCAAGTTATCTGCCTGAATTAGAGGGTCTGTACATTTTAAACTTTAGTTCACAGCTTAAAGAGGAGTACAAAATTAAAGCTATTCTTAGTTCTGAAATAAAAGCTTATTTTCCATTCCAAAGCAATAAAGCCTGAAACAGTACCGTTTTTTTAAAAATTAAGCGTTTTCAAAGCTGGTATCCAGCTTCTACACATCTTAGAACTTTTTCACTTTTGTGTGAAAAAGCAGTATTTTCTGACTTGGAATATATCTCATGCTATATAGCAAAGATTAATCAATGCACATTAATATTACAGCATGATTAAGTCTAACACTGAAGAAATTGTCCCAGAAACCATAAACTTCTATTACAGCATAACTGACAGAGAGCTAAAAAACAAACAACTGGGGAAAAACATTAGTCTCATGATTTGGTAAATTGATTCCATGCAGCTTATTTATGTTCATCTTCCTGTGGCAGGATTTACAAACTGCAACATGTATGAAGTGTGGAAGTGCCTCCCAGTGCTCTGATCCTGGGATCAAACCCCACAGCCACTCCTCAGCACAGCTGCAGGATACGTGCAGTGAGCACAGAAGGCAGACACATCACTGAGGTCACCCCAACAATGCAACAATCAAAGCCCACAGAGGGCTCTGATGCCCAGGCCAAGAGTTAGACCCTGATGGGAACTGCTCTCCTTGAACATCACTCTCAGTAGAGTTCTGAAGCAGTCCAGTGCAAATGCACCCCCAGATATGACACTTGCACAGTGGCAGCACTTACCCAAGGGACAGATTCTTAATTTTTTGTTTTTAATTACTAGAAGTTATAACACTGGTTCATTTCCTTACCTTAAATTCAAAACCAAAGACAAGACAAAGGAGTGAGTCTGCACTCACTGTGCCTCTAAGCAGCAAACTGAGCAGTGACACGGGCTGTACCAACGGGGATGCTCCCCAGTTCCAAGGAAAGCTACACTTTTAACAGGTTCTGCAGGCAAACATTTCAGAGGACCTACTCTCTCTCCTCTCAGTAATTGCTGCCACACCCTCAAGAGTCTCCTGGTAGTTAATGAAATTCATCGGTTGCAAACACTGAACTTCAATACCAAGCCACAACATGAGCTTCCCAATTTCTAGCAGTATCCTTTCCTATCCCCATACCACCAGGGCATTCAGGGACAAATCTGCTGATGTGCCATGTGTATCTGGAAAACTGGCATAATACATGGAAGTGAAAGAGTTCCTGATGATGGCCCAGATCTACATTAACAAAGCAATGGCAGGAATTCCTTCAGGTACACAATGAGCCCAGGGAGAACCCTGTTGTATCAGATCCATATTCCTGGTTTATGTGGAAATTAAACGCTGCCATTTCTGTTTTGTTTCAAGGATTAGCACATCAAAGTCATATTCTATTAGTGAAAGCAGGACTACACAAAAATAACTCTGGAGTGCTTTGTTTCCTGTGTCAGTTCTCCCATCTCCCTTTTCCTAGGCCTCTCACAGTACCTTTCTCTCAACCAACACACGTGCAGGTGCAGTTACCCAAAGCCTCCCCTGTATCTACAAGTGGGCAAAACACTTTTACCCAGCAACTGAGCCTTCCAGAACATCAGTTTGTGCAAGATAGTTTTAAGGGCAGAAAGACACCAGCATGCTGGACTTGGAAAGATATGATTTAAGGAAGGGATGAAAAAGAGTAGTTTTGAGGACAACAAACAGAAGAAAATCCAGGAATCTGGAAATGACCAGTAAGAGGCAAAGCAAGCAGAATCACGAAAGAAGCAGTGAAGGGAAATGCAATGCAAGCCTCAAGGATCATCCTGAAATATAGAAACAACAGCTAAAACTTCAGCTGTTCTCTTCTCAGAAGGTGCAAGCAGTATGACTTGAGATTATGTTCATTTTAATTTATCAGACGATTCCTTGTGAGTCATATTCAAAGTAACGTAAAACTTATCCCACAGTACAAGTGTTCTTGTGAGCCCCTGCAGCTTTTCCTCGTTCTTTTACCAACTTTCAAACATACCTACCACACGTACCTGTTTGGAAGGTAGGATTTGCTCCAGGATACATGTTAGGGGAATAGGCAGGAGCAGCTGCTGCATAGCCCATTGGGAAGCCAGCTGGAAGAAAGCACAAGTCAAAGTTACTCTCCTGACTGCACAGTCTACCCAGATTTTACCCGAGGTAAGCAAACAGCCAGCCTTCAATCACAACTCCTCAACTAAAACACCGGGCTCCCCGTCTCCCAGGCCACCTGGAAGTGAATGCTAGGTGAGAAGAGCACTTGTGACACCTTAGCTTTCTCCCTTACATCCCTGTTGCAGTAAATCTCTGTTGGCCAAGTACTTCAGTCAGCTGGAAAACAAAGTTTGGTACAATTATCCTACATTCGCCCTCCATGAGTTTTAAGATTTGCTGTACATACAGTATTTATCTGAAGGGACTTTTCTCTGAAAAAAAAAACACCTTCAAGTCAGAGTGACTCTGACACTCCAGATCAGAGATATCTCAAGCAGAAAGTACAAAGCAGTAGCAGCCCAAACTGCTTGTTGAATTTGACAGGAATTTGTTATTACACTCAAACAAGCTCCCCAGTTTCAGATACACACTGACAGTTACCAGCACAGAGGGACTCACAGAGGCACTGAAAAAATGATAGGTAAGCACTGCTACAGCAGAGTAGAATGACTAGGGCTGAGCTAATGTGATAGACTGGCCTCCAACACAAGGCAAAAAACAGCATTAGCAAAAGCCAGTTCCTTGAAAGATATGAACCTTGTTTAGATTTAGTGAAATTTCTGAATTAATCATAGCTATTAATTTTTCCAGGAACTTACTTACATCATTCCAAACTGTATAAAACTGAGTAATGACTGTATTTAGAAAGATGGAGTTACTACTACATTCTGTTATCAAAGTAAAAAGATTTCAACTTCTCCAGACAAAAGGCAATTAACATTTGCATCTCCACTGTCCCATTTAAAGCTGCTAATTTTTAACTGATATTCCAATTGATTTTAAGGGCTTCTATTTCATTATAAATCCCAGAGTCCTCAGCAATTACTCTCAACAATAAGAATTCCTCAGCTCAGGACTATATATGCTAACCAGTTTTGCAAAGCACTCTGTAAACATATCAAGTGGCATACACTTGGCACTGCTACTGGGTGGTCAGCATGGATAAGACTAAGAAAAGCATTAGGCTTAAAAATCAAAGTTAAAAATAACATATCCAAGTAGTAACAACTTTTCAGAGTGTAAATAGCTCTTTGGTTTTCAAACTCCTGAGCTGCTGGTGAAAAGCTTCAGTACAGCTTTGCACCTTACTCAAACCAACTACACATCTGCAACCTCAGGTACACTGTACACACTTTCCAGTCCTCCTTCCTTTCTTCGCAGCTTCAGCTCCACAGTCGAGCCCTCTGAGCTGCTCAGGAAATGGGTCATTTGTGAAAAATGGAACTACAACAAGGAGCAGCTGGAACTTCTACACAGAACTTATATCTGTGTAAGAACGTTTGAATATTGATTTTTTTTGCTGCTGGAATCCTATCCAACAACCTAAAATAGGTCTAGTATAATATAAACTGTTATTAAATATGCAACAGCTTTAGAAACACATTGCCTTTCAATAATGCATTCCACCTACTGCTGTGTTCCTTGCTTTCTATTCCCATGCAACCCATGCAAATGCAATGATTCTGAGTGGAGAATCTGCAGCAGAGGCCAAAAAAAGGGCACCTTAGTCATGCAACAGCTTTAAAAAAAACCCTAAAATGTAAGTCTACTTTTCCATTTAGAGAACGTGTTTCATGTTTATCCCAAAATCTTAAAAAGCTTAAAGCAGGCAGTTTAGCACACTAATGGTGTAACACAGTATTGACTAAGCTGAATTTAAGGGTCACAGCTGTGTGAACCTATGAACTCACTGCTGCAAGGGAGAATTCTGAGTAACCAACTTGTACCATGGTATTTAAGGCAGTTTTGTAACAATCCTACTTCAATTTCACATATATCAGTTTTGCAAACTAGCAAATATAAAGCACTGACATAATTCAATACATGGTCTAGTATGTGCAGAAGTAGAATAAAAGATTAGAAGTGGTAACGTTGTTTAAACTGCTACTTATGAATCTACAATAGTGTATCTTCCAAACTAAATTAGGCTATGACTTAGTTTAGTATAACCAAGAGCGTCAATGCGATGTGTAAATGGTTATAAAGACAAATGAAACCCTGGTTAATACAAATCTGCATTCAGAAAATGAACAGAGCTAAAAATACAACTTCATATTTAAATAATTCATAATAATCTTTATCTAAAGCAAAAGAAAGTCCCGAAAAAGCAATCTATTATAAATATGGGAATAACTTGCATCAATTATATTAATTAGTAAACCTCTGCTGCTTGCCTTATTGTACAATTACTGCAGCCCTTATAACTCAGTGACAGGGAGTAAAACCATCCTGCAGGACTCATGGTTACACAGCATCAGCTTCACAATTTATTACTGCACCACTCCAGTCACTCAATAGACTTAAAAACATTGCAACACACTTTGTGCCTTGCCCTCATAAACACTGGAGAAATCAAGACATGTACACTAGTCTGAGGAATCTGAAAAGCAAAAAAATAGAATGAAAATGTTTTGGAGACAATCAGCCAACAATAAAGAGAATTCATTTATGCAGCAGTATTTAGAAGGAGGATCAGAGAAAAGTAGAACAGGAAAATATGACCTCTAGAGCACTACCTAAGCTGAAAAACAAATTTAAGAACAGTAAATACCAGTAGGAAAATATAGTACAGCTACCAAGAATACAAACAGTAACAGCAGAGAAAGATTTCTACCTCCCAGCACAGACACCAAATAAATCACAAAAAATCTTTGCTGTAAAAGCTGAGAAAGTTTAACTTTTTATGGAATATAAAATCTGAGCTGAAAGACCCTCCAGCCTCTCCCAGAATGGAAATTCCCTTATCTCACAGATACCAGAAAAAAAAAAAAAAAAAGACAGCCTCAAGACCTGCTGCTTGAAATGCCTCCCAGAGACACAGAGGCTTTCCTGGAAAGCTCTGGCCAAATGTAATTTTGCCTCATCCAACTTTTAGACTATGGAGATATCAGAAATGAAACCTGTTTGCACACACATTAGGAGATGAGGGGAAAAAAAACCCTGGTGAGAAACCTGAAGTCACTGAGAAATAGATAAAGCAAGAAATACATTTGTGTTTCAAAAACATTTTTGGCCATTTTCTTGGTCCCATCCTTGCTGCTATGCTTTGGACAGTGCTAAAGCACAAGCAAGAACAAGAATTAGAGGATAGAAAGGTTAACAGCGCTTGTCAAGCAGCAGCAGAAATAGACTGACTCCTCTTCTTGCAGGGCGCAATTATTAGAGCTCCTAAAATAAGCTGCTTTGGAAGAGATACTGAAGTTAGAAATATAACAGAAGAAATAACATCACTGTGGAAATGTCACTCTTTAAATTTAAAGGCAACCCCACCCCAATCCCCAAACAGATTTACATGAAGGCAATTTTTTTTTGAAAGGAAAGAGCAGCAAAACTTGTTAGAAAACAGAGTTACTTACCTGGATAACCAATTCCTTTGGCATTTGCATAGGGAACCCCAGAAGATCCAGGGCTATACACAGGATTCATGATTTCAGTAACTGAAACAGGAAATAAAGAAAAAGAAAACCAATATTTACTTAAGTTTAAGGGAAGCTTGAAATCTCAGCAACTACTGTGGAACTAGAAATTGGGGAAGTGTATTGGAAGAAAAAGTAACAGAGGAAAATGCAGCAATTCCACTACTCATCAACACTAAAACCATAGCCACAAGCAGGAGAGAATCACTGCAGAAATAAAATTTCAAAGCACCCCAACCCTCAGTCAGCTAGGGAGTGTCTCAGGAATGAAACATTCCCTGTTATGGAGCACGCTTTCAAAATATTTCCATCACTCAGAGTTCCCCCTGGTGCAGAGATCCACAGCCCACTGCAGGAGTTCACTGGTGTTGGACGTCTCCCCTCATGCCATCTATCAGTCACTCTTCATCCATCTACCATCCATCAATCTTGGCCTCTTCCCCTTTTGTTTATGAAGCCTCTTGCCAAGGGAAGAAGATACTTATGGTCTATTCCTACTGGCATTTCAAGCCTGGGATTCCAGTCCTTGCCCAGCACTAAATTATCAACCATCAACAGCCCAAGTACTACAGAAGGAAGTGGCAAAAGACTCTGTACATTTAGACAGCATTTATTTATTTGTTTACTTGCTGCCAAGTTCTTCAGGGCCCATGAGAAGCTGGCAGTTGTGTACAGTCCTTTCTGAATGATGCATTCATGCACCAAAAAGGCACCTACAGCCAACATCACCCACACGAACAAAACCAACCACCCAGTTTTAAAAAGAACCTTGTACTTAAACACCACAGAAAGTAAAATGGCATTGAAGATGCTTCTCAAGTGGCTCATGCAGGAGTATTGTTTGCAACTACTTTAATGGCATTTTAGAAAAAAATCCCTGTATTTAAACCTCAGAATCTCCAATCATCTGATTTTCTGCATACATTTAAAGATTAAACATGTCTCAAGGGAGGTTTAGGTTGGATATTAGGAAAAGGTTCTTCCCCCAGAGGTGGCTGGGCATGGGAACAGGCTACCCAGGCAAGTGCTCAAGGCACCAAGCCCAACAGAGCTGAAGTTTGGACAATGCTGCCAGGCACAGAGTGAGACTCTTGTGGGTGTTCTGTGCAGGGCCAGGAGTTGGGCTTTGATGATCCTTGGAGGTCCCTTCCAACTCAGCATTTTCTGTGATTCTTCCTGCAAGCACCCATTTTTCAGCAGCAAGACAGAAAGGCACCCTATGAAACCAAACTTTCTTATTAACTGTTAACAGCTGACACTTGAGTCACTTCCTCTTCTACATCTCCAGCGATCTTACTTAAATTGTGTTAAACTGCCTAACACCCTGTTGGTTTAATAGAATTCTGTAAATAAAGTTCAGGAAACAAGAAAGTCTAATTCCACATGTGTTACCTTAGTTACAGAGCATGTTAAGGCAGGAATCCAAGTGGAATTTATCAGTATAGCTGCACTGATAAATCTTCGGTAAGTGACTCCATAAAGCATAAATAGTTTGCTTTTTAAAGTAACGCTAAAACCAGCCCTGTGCCAAGAGTTTCAGCAGCACCTAGTACACAACAGAAGAGCCATTTGTGCAAAATTAGCAAATCAAAGTAAGTGCTATCAGTAAGTTTATCACCAGGTTTCACAAAACACTTCAAGTCGATATAAGAGCATTACAAGATTTTACCAGCTTTTTGGATTTCCCCCCACTTTGCATTAATACTACCTTAAACAGAATTGCCTTTTTCCCCTGATTCATACTTGATTATATATAAAGACGACAGAATCCACTAAGACTGAGTTAAAAACCAAACAACCTGCCATTTACATCACTTAGTATGAATAAAGTTCCCCAGAGCAGCACGTTTCAATCACCTGACCCACATCAAAAAGTTCTATTTGACACAAATCTCTTTGGAAATGTTCTACAGCAAACTACACTTCAAGTCTGAAGGGCCATTTTGCACTGAAGCTCCGGGGAGTTTTAGCAGCATTAACTCTGCTGTGCCATAATCAACAGCTGTATTTTGCTGGACAGCACTTTGCTGTAGCAAGGCTGATCTGTTCTCCCATACTTTCTCCAGTGTATCCCCCTCTAAAAAAAGGACTCTCATTTACTTGAAAACTTTCAGTCTGTTCCCGTTACCTCTCTCTGTATTTTCCTCTCATTTGACAGTGCCACATTTTGTGTCTGAACCTAAAGGTTCAAGCTTCACTTTGGTCTCAGCATTTCCCACTCGTGGGGCAAAAGTCTTAATTAAAGAGGTGGATAAACCCTCCCACACAAATGAAACAGCCCTCTCCCACAATGTTGTATCCCCACAACGTGCTGCTCCTCCTCCTTGTATTCTCTGCAGGAATTAGGAGAAAAGAAGAACCTGTAACCCTCTCAACCACCCTGAATGGCAATGAGAAGAAAAAAGACTGTCAGCTGGGAAGTCAGAAAGGGGCTTCTGTGAATATTTTGTAGGTAAAATATATTAAAAAACCCAGCTATTACAAGTATTAGTAGTCAATGACTGCAGAAGAACACAAGGACATCCACTATGGGGGATGACTTGTGGAAAAGTAACACAAAGCTGAAGAGGTACAGAAAAGGAATAGAAAAGATGAGACAAGACCATCTCAAAGTACAGATTAGGAGAGAGGAATTCTATTTAAGTAAGGGGAAAAAACCTATGGCACTGGGAGCCTCACTCAAGCTGCCTCTTCCTGGAAACAATGTCTACTTCCACTTCAAATGTATCCACACTTCCAACTCCACACGTGTATACACACAAACACACATGAATTCAACTTGGGTTGGACAGACCTTTTGGAAAGGTCTGTTTACTTTCACCCTCTGCTGTCACCACTGACAGACAAGTCAGGAGCAATCAGCCTACACCAAGCGCTCATAGTCTTTGCAACTCAGACAAAACGTCAGACCATTCCTCATCACAAATAATTATTTCTGGGTCTTCTCTGAAGGACCCAACATGTGTAACTGTAATTATACAGCATTACCCAGTGGATGCAATCATCACACTCTTACTGTAATTTCACTTGGAAGGGCATCTGTTATATTGAAATGTGGAACCTCGCAGTCCACTTCCCTGGAACGCTCCACATCCACATCAAATGGTTTCAGCGCTTGGGAAACCGGTATAAAGCAAACCCTAAGAATCAGGCCTTTCAACTGCTTTGTTGGCAGTCCCTCCAAAGCATTCTCATGTTAATGGATATGCAAATCAGTGTCTACTGTGCATCATCTGTATATAAATTGCACAAAGTAAACTGTGAAGGAATTACTCTCTCAGTTGAAACAGAGGCAATCACACTTTTTAAAGATGCTCCGATTAAAGACCACGCAAGGATGCTTGGGAAGTGCAAGCGCTTCACCTTCCGCTCCTGCCAAAGCCAGGCAATTAAACTCAGTTGTGATCAGGCCTGTTAAATCTCATCTTGGTACAGATACCGGGACAATCATCCTCCTCTTCAATCCACGTTTTGGGAAGCTGAGCACAAAGGCCAACTGCTGCTATTGCTGAAGCTTTAGCACTCCCACTTGGATCTCTTCTGCACGCGGCTTTTCCTGCTACATTCGGAACACACAACATTTCTAGGAAATTCTGCTTTTAAAAACCGTGTCAGAGAGATTTGCGTGCAAACCTCCACAGATCACTGCAAGCACTGCAGGACAAACTGCACGGTCCTGTGTAACAGATGTATTTTCTTACCACTGATTTTCAAAGTTGTGCAGAAACACTATGAGAACAAGACCTGCTGAACGTCGTTTGGTGCTCATTTTATGACAATTCCATCAGCAGAGTTGGGGAAGAATCTCCAAGTACCCTGCCTAAAGCACACTACCGTGTCCGTTAATGCTTTCCTTCTGGGAACTTAAGCAGACTCACACTAAGTCATTGTAGTGCTGAACATCTACCCACCATGGAACACTTCTAGAATGCTATTTGCTAGGAAACTGTACAAACAGCCCAGTTTCCATTTACAAAGTTAATTACCTTCTTAGTGACGTTCTACCCATTTGACTTCCAGTCAAAGCTTAACAGAACTAAAATTTCAAAGTGCCTGGTAGTTTGTAATGTAGAAGCAGCAATTTCCACTGCTAAGTAGCAAAGAAAACAGTTCATGACACTTCAGCTCTTCAAATAACTGACAAAGATTAAAGTCTCAGTTACTTTTTGTTAAAACTTCAGCCATCAAAACAGGCTGTTCGATGCAAAACCAAGGCCAAATAACAGGCACTTCTGTCACAACTAGTTTAAAAAAGGGGGGTTGTATCAGCAGGCATGTAAGGCTTCCTAAAGACCAAGACAAGGCATCCCAGGCTGCACTGACACTGGTAGGTAGCTGAATGTCTTCCATGCATCCAAGACCTCAAAAAAGGTCACTGAATTTTACCAGGAAGCAGGCAATCCTGTGTTCAGTCCAGGGTACGGGTTCATGGCAGTCCATGACTGCAGCCAGCTGGAATCAATGCCTACAGAACTGCCATGCAGCTGGCAAGCAGCCCTACCTCCTCTGCTGGGACCCTCACTAAGTTGGTTGGCAGGAGTCTGGGGGCTGCTGGAGCTTTTTTGGATACAAGATTGCTATGTTTGCCATCTACCAGCTTGAGAGAACCAAGACACATCACCAAATGCCCAAGACAGCACTGGCTTCAATGTAAAGAAGGGAGCAGGGATGGACAGTAACAGCACAGACCGAGGGTGCAGAACCACAGCCTGGAGAAGGACAATTAACAGCTGCCCAAAGTTCACACATAAATTAAAATACAGAGCTCAAAACATCATTCCCAGGCAAGTCTCACTCCTCTGCTCAAGTTACAAGATGTTACAAGAATAAGACAGCTGCAATCACCTTCCATGTTTTGTGTTCATGCCTTCTTTTTTCTAAGACTAAAAAGGAATGGAGCAGTTTAGACTTTTCAATCCTGTCTAATGAACACAGTTCTCAGCTGTAAACCTGTCCTACCGGGGGTTTGTTATGGGTGGTTTTGAGTGTACACACATGTTAACACAACTGCCTGTACCCAATATCAGTGAGGACACACACGACATGATTATATGTCAAAGACTCAACAGTTCCATATGTCATTCACAAAAAGAAAACATATACAAAAAATTTAATAGTAAGATCCTGCTTGTGATTGCTGCATTGCTCTACGCTTCAAAAATCCCCAGAACATTACCAAAACATTTTCTTCTTCAAAAAAAAATCTTCTACCTCTGGAAAACATTAAACAAAATGCTTTGCATTTCTCAAAGCCTACAACTTCTGTTGTTGCTATGGCACAAGGGGATAGGAGCCCTCATCTCCAATCCTCCCATCTCCTGTAAAACTTTGAGTTCGAGGATATTCTAATCTCAAACAAGTCCTCAAATCACCAATTCCTCACTGTAAGAACCTTAAAGGCCTGTCTATTGCCAAATTTAGGGCAAGTTAATCAACTGTGAGAAACAGAGAAAGAAAAATCAAACTGAGAGAGTAAAACTTTACTACGTGAAGGAATCATACAACGTTTTAGTGAAATCCTACAAATAATTTTTTCAGTTTTTCCTTTTCAGTTTATTCCATATTCGTTTTTGACATAACATGAAACCATCACAAGTTCATAGCTAAGACAGAATTCCCGAAAGCCTCTTAACTCCCCCTCCTTTTTAACCTGAAAGTTGAAGTGTGTAATTACCACCCCAAACAGACAGGCTGGAAAGTGCGTGTTGAACGAACATGGAGGTTTTATGACACTGAAAATTACACATCTTACAGTAAAATCACACCAGAGCAGACAGAGAGTCTGGTCACATTAGGTAACACGCACACCGCGATCAACATTTGAGAGCAAATGAAGCCCAGCTCTTCTCGCGCTCAGAGCTCTGTGCTCCCCTCACCAAACCCGCACTTTTACCTTTCTCAGAGCACCGATTTCACCGTTCGCGCGGTGTTTACTCGGCTCCAAGCAATCTAGAAAAGCGCAGCAGGCCCGGTTTGTCTCTCTCTCCGTTCTGGCTCACAGCTCCTCGCAGACAGCCCGGGGGCCGCACCCGGGCCGCTGCCCCGCTCAGGGGCACGGAGGGGTCGGGCAGGTCGCGCTGCCGGCCCCGCACACACCGACGGCACCGACCGCGAGCGCGGCCGGCGGAGCCCTCATGACGCCGCCGCAATTCAGCGAGCCACCGCCGGGCGCCGGCACCGATCACCGGCCGGCGGCACCGCCGCGCTCCGGGCACCGCCGAGCGCCGCGGGGCCTGCCCGGGCCGCCTGGCACCTGTTCCGGCCGGACTGCGCCGCGGGGCCCTCGCCGGGTCGAGCGCTGCGGGACGGGCCCGCCGCCAGCGCGGGGCCGGGCTGAGGGTGCGGGGCCCGCCCGGATGGCTGAGGGGCGGCGGCCCCGGGGCCCCCGCTCCCGGCCCCGAGCGCTGCGCTGCGCTCCGCTCCGCCCGCGGGCCGGGCCGACCCCGCACCGCCCCGAGAGGCCCGGCTCCCGCACTCCCCGCTCGCGGCTCCAGCCCCGCTCCCGCACTCCCGGCCCCGCTCCTCGCCCTCCCCCGTCCCGCTCACCGTGCGGGCTCCGGGCGGGCGGCGCGGCGGGCGCTGGCTGCGGCCGGGCGTGCGCGTGCGCGTGCCCGGGCGTGCGGACGCGCGTGCGCAAGCGCGGCCGTGCGTGCGCGACCCCGCGAGGGACGGGAGGGGGGCGGGGCACTCGCAGAAACTGCGCACCGACCGCGTGACGTCACTTTCCGCGCGCGGGCGGGCGCCCCGTCACGTGCGCGGGGAGCGTCACGTGACCCCCCGCCGGTATGGCCCCGCCCCCCTCCCTCACAGGTCCGGCTGGGGGGTTCGGCCCGATTTGAGGTTTCACCGGGGGGGGTGAAGAGCTCTGCAGTGCCCACTGCGATTAAAAACAAATGACACGGACAAGT